CAGAAATTTTATATTTAAAAGTACTCCACTTAATATTTTCCTTTATGGCTTGTACTCTTTTTTTTTTTTAATATATTTTATTGATTTTTCACAGAGAGGAAGGGAGAGAGATAGAGAGTCAGAAACATCGATGAGAGAGAAACATCGATCAGCCGCCTCTTGCACACCTCCTACTGGGGATGTGCCCGCAACCCAGGTACGTGCCCTTGACTAGAATCGAACCTGGGACCTTTCAGTCCGCAGGCCGACGCTCTATCCACAGAGCCAAACCGGTTTCGGCTGTACTCTTTATAATTTAACAAATCTTCCCCCTACCTCAACGTTATAAAATATTCTATAATACTTAGTTTTAAATTTGTATATATCTTTTTTACATTTTTTATTGTGGTAAAGTACACATAACATGACATTACCATCTTAACCATTTTTAAGTGTAAAGTTGAGTGATATTAACTACATTCATGTGGTTGTACAACCAGCTACCAGCATCCATCTCCAGAACTCTTTTCATCTTACAAAACGTCTATGTCATGGAACACTAAGTCCCCATTCCCTTTTTCTCCTAGACTTTGGCAACCTCCATTCTATTTTCTCTCTCCATGTTATTGACTATTCTAAGAATCTCACATAAGTAGACTCATACAGTAGTGTATTTGTCTTTTTATGACTGGGTTAATTCACTTAACATAATGCCCTCAAAGTTCATCCATGTTGTGGCATATGTCAGAATTTCTTCCTTTTTAAGGCTGAATAACATTCCATTACACACACACACACACACACACACACACACACACACACCACTTTGCTTATCCATTTATCTGTTGATAAACACTTGGTTTGCTTCCATGTTTTAGCAATTGTGAATAATGCTGTTATAAACATAGGTGTACAAATATCTCTTTAAGACCCTGCTTTAAATTCTTTGAGTATATGCCTAGAAGTAGAATTGCTGAATCACATGGTAATTCTGTTTTTAATTTTTTTGAGGAACCACCATACTGTATTCCATTGTGATTGCCCCATTTTCCATTCCCACTAACAGTGAAATTTTTCTAAATTATTGCCAACACGTCTTATTTTCTGATTTTATTTTATTTTTATAGTAGCCAACCTAATGGGTGTGAAATGGTATCTTATTGTGGTCTTGATTTGCATTTCATATCCTGATTTCTCTTTTGATCCATTTATTGTTTATGAGTCTATTGTATTATTTCTACAATTTGTGAATTCTCCAGTTTTACTTATATTACTGACTTCTACCTTTATCTCTTTGCAGTTAAAGAAGATATGTTGTATTATATCTATCTTTTAAAAACTTATTGAGACTTAATTTTGAACCTAACATAGATTCTATCCTGGAGAATGCTCCATTTGCAATTGAGGAGAATGTGTACTCCATTGTCGTCCTGTATATGTCTGTTAGATCTAATTGATTATTATGTAGTTGATTCTATTTTCTTGCTTGTTGCCTATCTGGTCCTTCTATCCATTATTGAGCATGGGTATTGAAGTCTCCAATTTTTGCTTCACATATTTTGATGGCCTGCTATTGGCTGCATAAATGTTTATAACTGTTATATGTTCTTGCTGTGTTGAAACTTTTAATATATAATGTTCTTCTTTGTTTCTTGTAACCTTTTTTACTTAAAGTCTATTTTGTCTGATATAAGTATAGCCACTCCTATTTCCTTTTGGTTACCATTTGCATTGAATATATTTTTCCATTCTTTCACTTTCAACCTGTTTGTGTTTTGGATCTAGAGTGAATCTCTTGTAGACAGCCTGTAGTTGGATCATGTTGTTGTTGTTGTTTTATCCATTCTGCCATTCTCTGTCTTTGATTAGAGTTGAATCCATTTACATTTAATGTAATCACTGATAAGGAGGGATTTACTTCTGCCATTTACTGTTTGTTTTCTTTATGTCTTATAGCTATTTGTCCCTCATTTCTTGCACTACTGTCTTCTTATGTGTTTAGATTTATGTGTTTTTAAACCTGGGTTCTAGTCCTAAATTGACAGCTATTAACTGTGTGAACTTGGATATATCATTTGTTAGTGGGTCTGATCTTGGGAAAGTTATTTATCTAATTCTTAATTTTCTCATGTGTCAAAAATACAGATAATAAATACCTTGATAAATTGTTTAAAGGAATAAACAAATAACACAAGAAGGTATCCATGGTAGATGGCCTGATACAGAAATTCTATTTCCTTTTCTGAGCAAGGTCAGTTACATCTTTGGCTTTAACTTTCCTAAATCTACAATAATACTAATAGCATTTACTATGTACCAGCCACTGGTCTCAGTGTGTTATATGCATATATTAATTTACAACAACCTTATGAGGTAGACACATAGAGGTTAAACAACTTGCCTATGGTTACTCAGCTAAAAAGTGAGGAGGCCTTGATTTGAATCTCAACAGTCCCGTTTTTAACCAGACTGTGTTTTTAACCACCACACTGTACTGCCTTTCTAAAGGAAGGAGTTATAGGCTGTATTAGTTGTTTATTGCCTGTTATGCTGCATGATAAACAATCACAAAACCTCAGAGGCATAGAACAGTATTTATTGATCACATGTTGAAATGTGTGTTAGGCAACTCTGTTGATGTTGGCTTGCTACCTCACATCAATGAGGGTTAGTTTGTTGCAGGGTGTGGCTGGGACTGGACAGTTTGCTCCTATTCCAAGTGACTCTCATCCTGCAACAATCATATTAGTCTAGGAATATTCTCATGGTGCATGGTAGAGGCATGCCTGCTACAGGAAATCATGTGGCTGACCTGAGTCAAAGCAGGAGCACATTATAAAGTCACAAAGGCAGCGGATATAAGAATGTGTCACTTGACACATTGAGGTTGTTTTGTAATTTACCACAAATGCCAAGGCCCAGGGTTCCAAAATTCTTGTATATTAAGGATGAATTCTAAAAGTTAATCTCAAAAATAGCATTTCTGATCATTTAATAGAAAACTCAGAAAACACGGAAGTGCATACAGACATATACACACACATACATTTATAGAAAGTATGCAGAACTTCTTGAAGGAATACTTAAATCAGCCCGTAGTCCAAAGGTAGTAGTGGTGGTGATGATGATGATAGCTAATGAGCTATCAGCTGCCGGGGTCCAACCCCAGCAGGTCCAGGGGTCCCCAAAGGTGTGGACGGAGTCGGCGAAGAAGGAAGAATGACACGGAGACAGCGTTCAGTTGATCAGCAGCCTAGCCAGGATCTCTAGCCAGGATCTCCATCCAAGTTCTGGTCTGGATCTCCAGCGAAGTTCTGGTTAGGATCTCCAGCCAGGTTCTGTGTCCATGTTCTCTTGCTAGGTTCTCCAGCCAGGTTCTGTCCAGGTTCTCCAGCCAGCTTCAGTCACCAGGTTCTAGTCAGGTTCTTTTGCCAATTTCTGTAGTCAGGTTCAGTCCAGGATCTTTTGCCATGTTCTCTCGCTAGGTTCTGTCTCTAGGTTCTGAGGCCAGTTTCTGTCCAGGATCTTTTGCCATGTTCTCTCCAGCAAAGTTCTTCTGTCTCTAGAGAACGTTCTGTGTAGGTTCTGTGCCTAGGTTCTGTCTCTCTTGGTTCTGTATTCTAAGTTCTGTGTCTTGCTGTCTTATTACATCTGTATTTATACCAGTTGATTCAATCCTATCAATCTCTATTACAAAGGTTAGGGCGTTTCTTATCTCCATTCCAGGGAGTAAAGATTATGTAGCTTAAGCATGATTGTTCGTAGTTAAAGTGATTAATTACCCACCTGGCACTAGTTAAGAGGTTTTATTCCCTCCCTAACTTCAGGGGAAAATCCCTACCTGGGGAAACAACCTTTCTCAGAGACCTTGGTTAAAACACATAGTGCCAAGAAGGTGAGCAAACATATTAAGAACAGTATGCCATATATGCCAGGTCCCTTGAAACAGCAAGCATGGACCGGCTCCCGGCAATCAGCCTTTAAAGTTTGCTATGTGACAGCACTGTTCTCAGCACTTTACATAGTAACTCCCTTGATCTTTATAACAACCCTATTGAATAGGTACTATGAGTAGTTTCCATTTTACAGATGAAGAAGCTGAGAGATTTAGTAATTTCCTAGGTTCACATCATTTTTTGTAAGATTTCCACATAAAGTAACTTTCAAAAGTTTCTTATTTTTTATCGAATTATTTCCAGGCTCTTTGCCATGGAAGATCTTCTGTAATCTGGCCCTACCCAATCAATTCTCTGTCATTTCCATTACTATGAGTTATAACTTTAGACCAACGGTTCTCAACCTGTGGGTTGCAACCCCTTTGGTGGTTGAACGGCCCTTTCACAGGGGTCGCCTAAGACCATCCTGCATATCAGATATTTACATTACGATTCATAACAGTAGCAACATTACAGTTATGAAGTAGCAACGAAAATAATTTTATGGTTGGGTCACAACATGAGGAACTGTATTTAAAGGGCCAGAAGGTTGAGAACCACTGCTTTAGACAATTAAGAGTCTGGGATTTTGTAGATGGGATGCATACATTGGAGGGAGCTGAACTAGTTGCATTAGAGATTTATTCCAGTTTCAAGAATATGTGATTGAGTCCTTTTATGTATTTCCTCCTATGTATGTGTAGCTCTAAAATATTTTACAAGGCTCTTTCATCTGAATAACTAAACTTATTCCTAGGAGATGAAGAAAGTATCTACTAAAGCCATTTTATTTCTCTTTCTTAAAAGTAGACTCCTTTGTTTTGATTTTTTCACTCTGCAAACAGAAATCTCTGCACTGATGTAGAACTGTTTTGAAACGAAAATTGTTTTATTTGGTCACATAATCAGAAAGACCAGATGTAAATGTTTCTGAGATATGATGTGAATGACATTAACATGTCATTTAAAAGGAGTATTTCTAATTCAACTCTGTTCCTGTTTCAGATGTTTGAGAGCTGAGAGGTACATATACTCTCTTGGTATTTTGAAATGATTACCTGACACAATTGCTATTATATTCAACAGGTGGGTTTTCAGAAAAGACAAATGAATGGAGCTCAGAAGAGGAGGAACCAGTGAAAAAGGCAGGACCAGTCCAAGTCCTTGTTGTCAAAGACCATCATTCTTTTGAGTTAGATGAAACTGCACTAAATCGAATCCTTCTCTCAGAGGCTGTCAGAGACAAGGAGGTTGTTGCTGTATCTGTGGCTGGAGCATTTAGAAAAGGAAAATCATTCCTAATGGACTTCATGTTGAGATACATGTACAGCCAGGTATGTAAGAGTTTTTTTAAAAAATTTTCTGTCTCTGTGCTGTCACTTTGTGCTTTTATTTAGTAGTGTCCATTATTTCTATTGTTATGTGTCCTAAATATGCACTAGTTTAAAAATGCTATACTGTAATCATTCCAACTTTGGTGCTTTGGGCACCAAACTACACAGGCCACTTTTGCCTGAAGCCACTTAGCTACATTACCCTTAGAAGATACCTTATTTTTTACGCTTAAAAATAGAGATCACATAGTAATATGATTATAAAGTTTACATGTTATAGGGTTTAAAATGTCAAATAACTTTTGTCATAACAATTTTATTGTAATCATTTCCCACAACATTTATTATGACAATTTTCAAGCATGCAACAAAGTTAAGAGAATTTTGCAGTGAATACCCGGGTATCCACTAATGAGATTCTACCATTAACATTAATATTCTTGCATTATCCCATGTGTCTCTAACTCTTCTTTCCACCCATCACTTCATCTTATTTTACTGATTCATGTCAAAGTAAATTGCTGATGTCAGTATACTTCCCCCAAAATTTTCTCAATATACATCATTATTATATATTTTAGTATTTATTTTTTTCTCTTGTTATAAAATTTACATAGTTACATGCACAAATCTTGAGTACCTTTGCTTATTTTTTTGAAAATGCATATACTTCTATATTCCCAAATTCTATCAAGCATATTTCACCTTTACCCCAGAAAGTTCTCTCTGATCTTTTCCAACTCATTTCTTACCCCACCCCCAGAGGCAACAGTATCGTAACATTTGCTTCAGCAGCATGTCATAGAAATGAGACTTTAAGGGACCTAGGATAAACCAAAAGCAGAGGGATAAATAGGAGATTGGAGCTAGGGAACAGAGGGTTGGTAGTGGAGAGCATATCAGTATTTTTTCTACCTTTTATCCATAGCAATTCTGATGCAAATATGGATTTTTGAGGGAAGAATAGACACACTACCCAAGAAACTTGGTTCTATGTATTTATACCATAATTATCCATTTTGGATTGATCTTTTCTAGTTGGGTTATCTGTGAACAATTTTGTAACAATATCTTATGTCTAGTGTCAGTTCAAACAAATCAAGAACAAAACTGCTAAAATCTCAGGCTTTGAAAGCAAGAAAAACTTCCCATTCTCTATTTCTAGCATTCCAACTTTAGTGTGCTATAACACAGGTGGGAAAATTGAATGAACAAAATTAGTATACTTTACATTATTTGGGATTACATACAGTTTTATACATATTCATAGTGTTAACTGTTAAACATTTGAATGAAATGCTCAGTAACACTTGTTGCTTGTGTTAAATAGCATTTTCTCAGATTAAAGCTCAGATTTGTTTTGTTTTTGTCTTTCTGCACCTACTGCTAGATACCTTTCCTCCTGCTATTATTCACTTCCTCCTCCCCCAATACCAAAGCATTGTTTGTGTTACTGTTTATATCCTGATGTACTATATTCTCTCATATCTTTATTTCTTTGTTTCTGGAATACCCTCCCCAAGTTTGCTTCCTGGAAAATTCCTAAACATCCTTCAATGTTTAGCCCAAATATCACCTCTCCTTTAAAGTATTACATAACCAAGAGTTACGTAATAACTCTTTAGTTATTTCTTATGTTTCCATTTATGCCTAATATACACTCCCATTTTAATAGGCATATATTATATTATATTAGTTAGTTAGCATGTTTATCCCCTGTTAAGTTATGAGCTTCCATTGGTCTGGAATATCTTTGTATCCCCAGGACCTAGCATAACATGTGGCAAATGATTGCTTCCTCTGTAATTTCTTTTTGGATTAATTAGTAAAGAAATTGTGTCAGTACAGTAGATGTGCATATGTTGTTTCCTTTTGGCTAGAGTTAGAAAGAGAATACAAATCTTAATGGATGAGTAGAAAATACTATACTACATATCTAGTTCTGTATCAGAGACTTTCTTAATTTTATAGGAATCAGTTGATTGGGTTGGAGATTACAATGAACCATTGACTGGATTTTCATGGAGAGGTGGATCTGAACGAGAAACTACAGGAATCCAGATATGGAGTGAAGTCTTCCTTATCAATAAACCTGATGGTAAAAAGGTATGATGTGAACTTCTTAAAGAAAATAGATTTTTCACTTGCAACAGTTATCACTTTTCAGGATCCTCAAAAACAATCTTTTGAAAACTAATTTTTGGCCATTTGACATGATATTTAAAAGGGAAGTGGGTAGCATTCTATTGCATGTTTCCTATTTTCCTTTCTAGGGGTCAGGGTAAGCAAAATTCTAGAAACAATGGACCAGCAGCTCAGCTAACATCTAAACTTTGTTTCAGTGCTGTTTCTGTTATGGTGGATTACCAGTGAAAGTTAATCATTACAGTATTCAGCAACTAATTGCATTTTTATTTTCTGTGGCCTTAATGGCACATGTAAAAAATATTCATTATTAATGATTTATTTTAGTTCTTATGATGTTAACTTTGTGTTAACCCAAAAACTCTACATGTTCTATAAAATATCAGTAATGTTCTCTACTTGCCTATAGGTTGCAGTGCTATTGATGGATACTCAGGGAACCTTTGATAGTCAGTCAACTTTGAGAGATTCTGCCACAGTATTTGCCCTTAGCACAATGATCAGCTCTATACAGGTATGGAATAAAATAAATCCATATTTATGGATGTTTCTTTCACTAAAAATTATGAATATATGTATTTCTGTGTGCTAGTGAGACAAGCAACAGAAATGGTAAATCATGTATATTATTTGGCTTAATTAGCATACCAGTTCTAATGGTTTCTGTAACAGTAGAATTGTTTTTATTATTGTCACCTAATTTCTGATAAGTTTTCAAATTGCTTACTTTAGTCAGAAAAGATATTATCTTATTGATAATTTTTTTCTGTTTAAAGCATGTAATAAACTCAATAATATTAAATCTTATAATGCATGCAGTTACATTGGGATCACCTAGTTAAGTTATATTAATTGAAACAAGATTTATAAATGCAAAATTTTATTTTACATAGCTCGTAGAAACATTTCTAAATGTAAAAAACATGTATATGTGTTCATAGCTTTTAAATACATATTACTATACATTTAGGAAAGTAACTGTCTTGTAAAAAAAAAATCTATCTTTTTTCTTTCACTGCCTTTTTTAAAAGTATTTTCTGTGAGGTATATTGTAGGCTTTATAAGTTGTCCTAAAGTACTTGGAGAATTTTTCTATAGTAATAGAACACATAGCATAAAAAAATTTTAAACCAAATTAAAATTATTTTCTATTTACTGTAAAGAGCAAGAAGAGATAGTAGACAAGAAACAGTTAAAAAAAGGTAAGATAGTTTTAAAAATTAGGGAAGACAAAGTGGTTAGGATGAGTAAGTGAAGGCTAAAATTATAAGCAAGTAGAGAAAATGGAGCTAGTGAACTGGCAGTAAAGGCATGGTGTAAGGGTAGGACAACCGTGAGAAGGTTGATAGAAGGAAGGCTGAAATTTTTTTTTAATAAAGGACTTTAAGATAAAAAGCCATGATTGTAACTTATAGTTGACTAGCTTTTAAAATTATACTTCTTAAATGAGTAACCCTTTAAAATACCGACTTACCTAATTTCTTCATAATTGACAATATAACCCATTTATGCAAGCCAATTAAAACCAGATTAACTTTGCCTTTGTAATATTTATTATTTACTATGTATATTTTACCTGAAGACATTCAATATTTTCACTGAAAATGTAAGTCTTTTTAGTAATGACTATTTCTTACTATCTGAGAAATGATCTATTTAAAAATATATTATCTGTAATAATACATAAAGATACACATATCCTTAAGTTTTCTTTGATGTTACTGATATTTATTCCCCTCAAAAAATGTCACTTTGATACAGTGATCTGTTCATGAAGTAATAATGCATACGTTTATGGGTGTGGACATAATATTCAGAACCTAACTTCCATGTGATGAAACTTTCTGTAGACATAACTCAGATAACCAGTTGTGAAGAAGCCAACATAAAATTTTAAGAAAACTTTATGGGTTATTCAGATTTAGATTGCCATTATTTATATGCAGAAGTGTTTTATTGACTGGCTGTTGAGTTCATAAAGTATTTTTAGTATTCTGCCTCCAGGCCGGTGGCTATTGCATTTCTAGAACAATTTTATGATCATTGTACATTATAAATATCATTATGTAAGAATGTAAGTTAGAGAGTTCACATTTGTGATAACTGATATTGAGACAAATAGAGAATGACAAAGTAGTACTGAGGATGATGCTAATTATTTCCTCGTTTTAACTTTATTTCTTAATCAAGGTATATAACTTATCCCAAAATGTCCAGGAGGATGATCTTCAGCACCTCCAGGTAACAATATTTATAATCTTTTTTAATATCTGGTAATCTTTTAAGCATGCATAGTGGAACTTCAGGAGGATTTAGAAACATAACCAAATGGAGGTTGTCCTAGTTCCAGGCTTCTTGTTCCAGCCTTGCATGGTTATATTCTGTCTAACTCGGTTTCCAAACTCCTTTGTTTCTGTAAAATTACTTGCTATTGACCTGCATCTGAAACTACGTGGCAAGTTAGAATAGAAAAATGATCTTTGGTTTAAAAATGACCCAAAATATGAAGTAGAAGTCGTAAGATCAAGGATTTAATAATTGCTAGTGTGATATTAGTTGTATGCCAGTTTTTCCCCATTGGACCATTTTATACCTAAGAACTATGAGAGGTTTACCTGATGATAACTCATAGAATTCTATTTTAGATCTCAAAGAGACCTCAGTGACACCTAATTTATACTTCATATTTTATACATGAGGAAAATTTGGCTGAAAGAAATAAATGACTTGCCTAAATTCTTGTGGCTAATTAGTGGTAGAGTGGGAGTAAAAATATGGTTATCTGACTGGGCTTAGTGTTTCTTCTATTCTCCAAGCATCATTTAAATCTCAAGTAAAAGATTAGGTATTCCTAAAGATACTTCAGATCTCTGTAACACTCTGCTCCCTTTCAATTCATGTTATATTGGTTACATAGGAAAGCCTATTGTTTCTCTGATAGTTGCCATCTGTATATTTTGTAGAAAATTTTGCTTTCAGTATATTATTTAGTTTTTGCAATAAGAGCCATGTACAAATTTAACAGATAACAAGATGATAAAACAGGGTAATCTCTAATGCCAGAAAAATCATTTGAGTTTACAACCAGTATTACTCCCAAATATATTTATTTTCTTCTTTTTAAATCAGTTTTTTATTTATTTTATTTTTTTATTGATCTTAGAGAAAGGGAGGGAGAGAGGTTGGGGGAGAGAGAGAGAGAGAGAGAGAGAGAGAGAGAGAGAGAGAGAGAGAGAGAGAGAGAGAGAGAAGAGAGAGAAGAGAGAAGAGAGAAAGAAAGGAAACAGCAATGTATGAGAGAAACATCGATCTATTGCCTCCCATGCATGGAAACCTGGGTCATGTGCCCTGACCAGGGAATCAACCTGCCACCATTTTGTGTAGGTGACAACATTCCAATCAACTGAGTCACACCAGCCAGGGCTAAAATATATTTCTTGTACATCTCACTGACCATTTATGACAAATAGGCAATATGCTGAGTAAGTGTTAAATTTTTGTTGTTATTGCTCTCTTTTTTATTTTAATTTGTGTTTTTATTTGATTTGATTTGTGTTATATATTTCTTATACAGTAATAAGTACAATAATTTCTTCAAGCATGTACTGTTCAATACCAGTTTTAGGGATTTCTTAAAGAAGGACTGATTTTGGATTTTTATATTGAGTAAATTATATTTTTTGAGATCACTTAAAAAATTTCCTGTAAATGACAATATCTCAGTCTTCCTCAAAAAAGATTGTGAATTCAATTTATGTTAGTAGATAAGTCTAATGAGAGTGTTTAATCCCTGACCAGCTGCCTTTTGTTTATTTTTTAAATATATTTTTATTGATCTCAAAGAGGAAGGGAGAGGGAGAGAGAGATAGAAACATCAATGATGAGAGAGAATCATTGAGTGGATGCCTCCTGCATGCCCCCTACTGGGGATCGAGCCTGTAACCCGGGCATGTGCCCTTGCCTGGAATCGAACCCGGGACTCTTCAGTCCACAGGCCAACGCTCCATCCACTGAGCCAAACCAGCTAGGCTCAGCTGCCTTTTAAATATGATATTCCAGACTTTCATTTAATCACTCTAATCAAATAACTAGTAATTACCCTTTGCTTTCTACATTCCCATAGCCCGCACGAAGCGGGGGAAAGGATGGTAATCCTCTGTGTCAGCTTTCTTCCCCAACTCTGAAAAGTCACTGTGGCTTGTTAATCTTGTATATTTAGTGGCATTTCCTGTGCACACATGGGAAAACCCACTTAGCCACTCTGGATGAAACTCTCATCAGAGGCCCAATCACAGTCACCCTTAGGTTGTGTTCGCCAAAACCTTCCATTTCTAGCAACATAAAAACTGCTATGGTGCCTCTCAATTGGGCACATAAAAAATATTAGCAGTGTATTTGATGTTTTAATTTTTAAGCCAAATACCTATATGACTTTGTAATAATCCAGGCCATTGTGTGTCCTCAGGCAACAACACATATATATCCTACATAATTTATTGCTTCCTGGTCTAATTATGCAAGTTCTATTTTGAAAGGTCATTTAACATGTTTCTCCCCATTGTCCCTACAAAAACTGTCCTATATTCCAGATATAAAAGATGTTAGCTTTAAAATGAAAACTTTATTTTTAAAATATCTAATTACTATACTGTTTTATCTAATACTTAGTTCCTTAAAATGATTATTGTAATCTTAAGAATATAGTATTATCTTATAGCTTGGGGAACAATATGAATGGAAGAAAGGCAAAAAGTAAAACTTTGCAGATACTGAAGTTTTCTTTGTGCATGTGTGTTTGTATGTGTGTGTGACTTTCCTTCTAGCTTTTCACTGAGTATGGCAGACTGGCAATGGAGGAAACATTCCTGAAGCCATTTCAGGTAAGTTGGGGTTAACTGATGATAAATTCCTATCAAAATTTCCTGAAGACCATAGCAGGTATTTTAATTAATTGTGAGGGTCTGTTTCTCTTTTAAAATTTCACTTCAGAAGCACTTTTGGATACCCATTTAATGCTATACGATGCAAGGAGAAGATAGAAATGTGGAAATAAAAATTTAACAAACTGTTTTTTAAAAAGGGGGAAGGAAAAATAAAAGAATGAATAAGATATTTTGGTTCCTGCAAAAATATCAGGTTTTCTCCCCTGAACCAACCCTAGAGATGTCATAAAAAAATAAACATACTATGGAGTGAAAAAGTTGCCTCTTAAAGACTATCTACAGTATGATGGCATTTTAAATATAGCTCATAAATGAGCATAACTAAATTAATAGCATATTGTTTAAGAATACATATACATATGTGTTAAAACTATATTGAAAGCAAAATTTAAGGTAGTGATTACCACTGGAGAGGAGAAATAGGGATACACCAGGGAGGGATACACAGGAAGCTTCACTGTTTTGGTATGTTCAATTACTTAAGTGGGTTTGTGGATTCACAGGTTCATTTTACTAATGTGCATAATAATATGCATATAAGTTATTTTGTAGGTGTCATATCATAAAAATTTTAAATCTTAAAAAGTCAATAATATGTCTCAAAACAGCAATTACCAACTAACAAATGTAAGTTATTTTGTGTGTATGCAGTTTTTTTTAAGTATACAATTCACCATAGCAAAAAACACACACAAAAACTTTGATAATTAACGCCCATAATATAAAGACTTTTATGGAGAAAAATGCAAAGATTTATTAAAGATCATAAAGGGAAATTTGTATAAAACATATATTTCAGATAGGATGATTTAATGTTGTAGAGAATTTAATTCTCCCCAAATTAATCAATAAACTCAGTGCAATTTTAATTAAAATTACCACCGAATTTCTAAAGAAACTCAACACATTGTGCTATAACTTCTATGGAAGAATTAAGTTCTGCTTTTATTTAAATCAGTTTTTAAAAAGAAAATCAAAATTGGAGGATTGAATACACATTAAGAAACCATACAAAATGAAAATGGTGTGGTCCTGCACAGATACAAGAAAAAAGCCCAATGGAACTAAACAGACACTGAATATATCCCTATCTATAATAATAAAAGTGTAATATGCTAATTAGACCAGATGTCTTCCGGACGACCTTCTGGATGAAGCCGGGGCTGCGAGGGAAGCCTGGGTCCCTGGTATCAGAGGGAAGTTGGTACCAGCAGTGGGGGGAAGGAAGGTCTACTCTTGCATAAATTTTGTGCATCGGGCCTCTAGTATATATAGAAACCTGGTATTCAACAGGGGTGGTGTCATATACCAGTAGCAAATGGATGGATTAATAGCTGAGATTTGGAAAAACTAATTCACTATTTGAAGAAAAAGTTGAATTTCTGTTAAACACCATATAGATTAGTAAACTCCAATTGGATTAAAGAACTAAATATGAAAGTTAAAATTACTCTAATAGAAGAAAATACTGGAAAATATCCTTCTGAACTGGGGTGAAGAAACATTTATATACTAGGATTCTCACAAAATAAACCATGTAGTGAAAAATTGATGGGTATTATTACATTAAAATAGAGTATTTCTATTTATCAGAGGACTCTATAAGAAGCAAAGTGAACAGATTGGTAGAAGATATTGACAATGCCAAAGTCAACAAGGACTTAATATGTAGAATACACAAGGCAGTTTTACAATTAAGTAAGGACATTTTGCCAATTAAAAATAAGCAAAGGAACTATGACACATTTTTAGAATGGCCAAATTTCAGAGCATCAACACCAAATGCTCCACAAAAGAGGATGTGGAGCAACAGGTACTCTCATACATTTCTGGTGGGAATTTAAATGGTACAGTCACTTTGGAAGATAGTTTGGTGGTTTCTTACAAAATTAAACATTCTCTTATATGAACCAGTGATTGCACTCTTTGGTATTTACTCAAAGAAGTTGAAAACTTACGTCCACACCAAAACTGGCACACAGATGTTTGTAGCAGCTTTATTTATAACTTCCAAAAACTTGGAAGCAGCCAAAATGTCCTTTAATAGATAAACTGCATATATCCAGACAATGAAATATTCAGCGTAAAAAAGGAAATGAGTTATCAGTCTATGAAAGAGACATGGAGAAACATTAAATGCACATTACTAAGTGAAATAAGCCAATTTGAAAAGGCTACATATTGTATGATTCCAACTATATGATATTCTGGCAGAGGCAAAACAATGGACACAAAGATCAGAGGATGGTGGGGGAAGCGAGGAGTGGAGAAATGAATAGGCAGAGCACAGGGGATTTTTAACGCCATGAAAATACTCTATATGATATTGTAACGATGGGTGTATGTCATTATACCTTTGTCCAAGCCCATATCATGTACAACACTAAGAATGAACCCTATGGATTTTGAGTAATTATGATGTGACAATGTAGGTCCATTGTTGATGAAAAAAAGAATGCACCATTCTGGTGGGTGATATTAATAAATGAGGAGGCTGTGCATGTGTGGGGACAGGTGATACTTGCCAATACTCTGCACTTTCCTCTCATTTTTCTTGTAAACCTAAAGCTACTCTAAAAATAGTCTTATAAAACATTTAAAATGATAAACTGTACTTGATTTTTAAAAAACAGGCAAAAGATATGCAGACAATTCACAGAATGAAAACCTGATTGGTTAACACATTTTTGAAGGATGTCAGGTCTCATTGATAATCAGATAAAAATTAAAATAATGAGATACCACTTTATACTTTTTAAGTAGCCAAAAAGTGGAACATGGGGTTAATACCATATTATAGCTACAATTTGGATAAATGGGAAAGCCAGGACCTATTGGTGAAAGTGCAGATTGGAGCAGGGGAAATGTGTAAGGATATTGACTGGAGCATTGATAGAGAAGTGGTAGTGGGAAGTTAGAGGCAATTTAGATGTCCATCACTAGAAGAATGGATACATAAGAGCATACTCTGGAATATTTTGCAACATCCAAAGGCAGTGAACCAGAAGTATATGGAGTAGCATGAATAATAGAGTGTTTAAATTGATACTGAATTGTGCAGAAGAAATTTGAGATCTATAACACACTATTTATGATTATTTAAAACACTCTAGATCAGTGGTTCTCAACCTTGGCTGCACATTAGAATCACCTGGGAATCTTTTTAAAATCCTGGGCCTCATCCTCGGAAATTCTGTTTGTTATGGGGTGAGGCCACAACATTAGTAACAAAGAAACAGAATTTCTGGAGGATGAGGCCCAGAAATCAGGATTTTAAAAAGATTCCCAGGTGATTCTAATGTGCAGCCAAGGTTGAGAACCACTGCTCTAGATAAACAAAATATATGTATTAGAGTTGAGAACAGAAAATTGAGAGATGGAAATGGGGGTCTGGGAAAAATATGATAAAGAAAAAGGGGCCTTCGCATGGAGAGATGATGGTATGCTGTGAGTGAGAGTATGAATCTCTCCCCCATGGCTTGGGGAAGCAGGTGGGGTAAAGTAGAATAAAACCAGTTCTTGCTTACAATCTTCTGTATGGTTTACAATACCTACTAGATTCTGTTGTCTTTTTAAAAAGTATTTGTCAGGCTGATAGTTGAAGTGTTGTATGGTAATTAGGCTACTTGTTTTGACTTTTGTCTTCTCTGAACCTGTTACTCTCAGGACCCATTGGCATAGACTGGGGAACTGCATTGTAAATTCTGGAAAGGAATGTTAAGTCTTATCAGCAGGCATCACTTCTTCTTACACTTTGCCAGATATACTAAAGTCAGAGAGACCAACCAATGCTCAGGAGGGGGGGTGGGGGGGGGAGAGAGAGAGAGAGAGAGAGAGAGAGAGAGAGAGAGAGAGAGAGAGAGAGAGAGAGATTGAGATTGAGAAAGTCATAGAGTTACTGCTTGTTGGTAAACTGTTGGCTTATGAAATGTCAATGAAAAAATTATGACTAAATAAGTCAACTAACTCCTAAACATGTTTGGACGTGTAAATCTAAGTATCTGAAATTGAATTGAGAAACTCATTAAGTAGCAAACATGGCTTCCAACACTATTTAATAATATTTAAGATTAAAACAACCAAATTCAAACCAAAAAATACTATACAACATGAAATTAAAAGATAAAATACAAATATATTAAAATCTCAGAACATGTAAGATAGCAGCAAAATATTTCACATTTAAATTAGCATGGAGGAAAAAATCTAAAATAAAGTAATTTTGAAATAAAAGTTGTTAATTCAGCAAGCTTTCTTAGCAGTTCACTTCTGTCCTCTTCCTCACTCCAGAAAATTCACTGTTTTTTTCTATTGTGAACCAGTGTTACCTCAATAACCCACATAAAACATGTATTGATATATCCTACATGTTTGTAATATTAATTGCTATGTAATATATTTTCATATTAATATGCCATAATTTGTAAAGTCATTTCACAATTGTTGAGCATTTGGGGTTTATTTCACTGTTACTCATAGTAGTGCTAGAACACTGATTTTTAAAATAATTTCCTAAAGGATTAGTCTCCAAAGGGAAGTTAACAAAGGTTATTTTATACTTTTCATGTTTTTAAAAATATATATGGTCATTTATAGGATATACACAGCATCCTTTGCCCCAGTTGCCTTCCTGAATTTAATTCATTCAAAAAACAGTATTTATGACTTCAAATGTTTTTATTTGAGAAAATCAAGGTAATTTATAGTCTTGATTTTTATCTTTACCTACATATATATATGAACAAATCAAGATTCATCAATGTTGAAAACTGATGGCTTTTGAAATAAGGACCGAGATTCATAGAATTCCGTACATGATAAATGTAAAGCATACAAATTGTCCAGGGTGAGGGTGGGGCCAATGGGTGTGCTTTTATTAGCTGGCTCATACCAGTTCACAAGAGCTAACTAGTAAACATTCAGGAATTATGTAAGCCAATTATTAAACAGTTAATAGCTTGAAATCAGCCATAGTGCACATACAGAAATTGTCGAATGCTACAAATCAAGGTGTTGTGTTGTTGTTGGAGAGGTAGTTTACTAGCACATCATTGGATGGGAACAATGGGCATGGAAATAGGGAATCTGACACTGTAGATAGATAAATAGAATATAGATTTTTGATTTGAAAAAATAAGACTTCATATTTGATCATATTCTACACATAGTCCTCATTATGTCGACTTGGGAAGGTGTCCAGTGAAAAAGACCAAGAAATGAAACTAAAATCTCCCAAGAAAAATGCAAAATATAGCCAAATCCACATATTTGGTTTCATTTATCCTAGTTCATGAACTTCTATTTTGTAAAAGTTGCTTCATAGCTAACCTCTATTTTCAAAATACATGTTCTAGGTGTCATTGTTCTGAATACAAGTTGTTATATTTTATTTTGACAAAAATTTTGACAGAAATTGGCATATAATTAAAGATAGTGGATATGGGTACTTTTAAATTCTCCTCTCCATAAGAATATTTTCTTTCCCCACAAGAACCCACAAAACAAAACATGAAGAGAGGCTCTACCTTAGTGAAACAAGAAATATCCGTAAGGCAAACTAAGAAGCATTCATTTTTAAGGAAAGAAGATGTGAGCCCAAAATTTTATATCCAGCAAAATTGACTTTCAAGTATAAATGGCACAAACTGTTATCAACATGTAAGAATGAAAAAAATAGTGTTCCCATGAGCCCTTAATGAGAATTCTACCAAAGAATGCACTTCAGATAAGCAAAGATGACATAACTTCGATCAAATCAGAGATAATCATATACTATGTGCCTCCTGATAAAAGGACACTCTGCTTCCCATAGTCTTGCCAAAGAAATAAAACCTGTGTCAGACCAAGCCTCTGTCTCTAGCTGCCAATTTGCAGGAAACCCAGAGGACAAAAGAACATGTTGAACTGCTCCATAAATATGCAGTCAGCAAGGTCCCAGTTATGGGAAACTCTACAGGTCAAATTCCTAAGTTCTTTAACAGATGAACTGTAAAGGGGAAAAGGGGTGGAAGAGGAACCTGTAAATTAAATGAGAATTAAAAGACATAATTTTTAATGGGCGAGTCTGAAAGATTCAGTTAGAAACTCAGAAAATATAAACTTTGTTTAAAACATTGATTTTAGAGAGAGGAAGGGAGAGAAACATCGATGCGAGGGAGAACATTGATTTGGTTACCTTCCATAAGCTGGGTGTGCCCTGACTGGGAATTGAACTGGCCACCACTTAGTGCAAGACAATGCTCTAACCAATGGACAACACTGGCCAGTGCAGAAAATGTAAACTTTTAGAAGGATCATTTAAAGATAGCTAATTTTATAAAATATGATTTTTTTCTTTATTACCTACATTTTTTTCAGAAACAAAAATTGAAATATCTTATTCTAATTTACAAAAAGCATATTTTAATCAGCCCTTAGATCGTAAACTACATATTTTATACTTAAACTTTGAGGAGCAGTACAGCAGGGATTTTGAAGTAAGACCCAAGTTTACTACTAATTCTTTCATCTCTGGCTGTGTGAGTTTGAGCAAGTTACTTAATGTCAGATGAGGGTGGAGGTGATTTTTATATATCTCTTTTGAAAGGAATAATAAAGTATAACCGATCTCTTAGGGCTGCTATAGAAATATATGAAATATCATGTGTACAGTTCCTGGTATTGAAGCTGGCATATTATAGGCTCTCAATAAATGAAAGCTAATACTACATTGGTTTCAATAGGTCTGGGGTGGAGCCCAAGAATTCTGTACTTTTAAAAAAGCTTCCCAAATGATTTTAATGATTGTTCTAATTTGGGAAACACAGTCACTGATAAAATCCTTCTGGATGTGAACAAATATTTAACTTGAAGGATGATTATCTATGATTTTCTTAGAGTAGTGGAAAAGCTGGAAAATATTTATGAGAAGGGCAAAATAAATTATGGTCTATCCATGTGCTAAAATACTAAGTTGCCATTAAAATAAAAATCATATAGCTAACAGAGCACTAACTAGGTATCAGGCACTATTCTAAATGCCTATATATTATCTCATTTATCAGTCCTGTGAGGTGGGTCTATTATTATCTCTAATTGACAAATGAGGAGGCTAAAAATGTACGTAACATTACAAATAAAAATTGTGACGCTGAAACATTTCTAAACTATCAATAATAATAAAATGTTTTATAATAAGAAATTGGCTTTTTTAGAAGAAAGACTGAGTTAGCTTTCTAACAAAAAATATTTCAAAATAATCATATGAAGAAGTGATAAAATCATTTGCAGCCAAAAACTGTAGAGGGCAAAATATATTATAAAGGTATGTTAGTTATTTTGCTGGTGTGTGTGTGTGTAAGAGAGAGACTCGTCAGCTTTTTGAATTAGTAATTTATTTTTCTCATTCTAAATAAATATTCACTTTTAAGCCCAATTTTTTATGCTTTTTCTTATTGAGCCTTCCCCCTAGAGATTGTGTAAGATTCAGGCCCCACAAAACCCAGATTACCACCCCTTTTTATACCAGTTATGCATAATGAGAACTCCTATAGAAGAGAGTGGGACACATGTAATGGAAGAAAAATATCTAGAGAGTAATAGAGGAAACTTTCCTCAAATAAAACTTGAATCTTCATAAAAAGCTGTTTGAAAACCACCAAGCTGAATGCATCCCACCAAGAAATGAGACAGAGTTGCCCTCAAATTGGCTCCTAAATTGGCACTATGTAACTATGATCAGTTTTGGGGCAGCTTTTGGTTTACACTTAGTGGAAATAGGTAGGATGCTCTAATAGAGGAAAGACTACTCAGAAACTGTCAAAGATTTTATGTTTGCTTTAATTCCACAATGTGGTAAAGAACATTTGAATAGTATTCTTTAATTGGTTTCAATTAAAAAGCAGTGGGAGGCAACTTAGAATCTCATCAATTCTTTCTTTGAATTATTTCGTAGAGTCTGATATTTCTTGTTCGAGACTGGAGTTTCCCATACGAATTTTCATATGGATCTGATGGTGGCTCCAAATTTTTGGAAAAACGCCTCAAGGTTTGTTAGATATTTAGGTGCATGAAATTTCACCATTAGTAATCTAGAATTATTTTTGTTGAATGATTTGCTGAACACTTAGTAGCCAAATTCTCATTTGACCCTCATAGTGTCTCTGTGAATAAACTAAGACAGATGCTTAACAAAATACTTTCAGAATTACAATTTTTAAATATTTTCAATAATTATGATACAGATAAAGAGTTCTTTTGTAGGTTTCTATAAAACAATGATTTATTCGAAAAAACAAAGCTTTTAATTTGAAGAATTAAGTTAGTTCAAGACCACAGTTTAAATATCTGGATTCATGTTTTAGCAGAGGTTTAAAAGTCAATTTAACAAAAATATCTAATTTTGAAATCCCCAATCTTGTAACATTTTGCTAGTAGTTCACAGAAAGTAAAATTAGAAGACTTTCCATTTTTAATGTCATGATAGTTTAATATTGACTGATTTACATTGAATAGATATCACACAAAAATACCTACTGAGAAGTCCGAAAAAAAAGATAAAAATAATTTCCTTTATAATCAGAATTTCTGAGCTTAACTTTTTAGGTTTATAATTACTTTTAGGGTAATTCGTACTATTAACTGTCAAATACATGTAAAAAAAAGTGCAACTTAGCTTATAAACACCTACCTATTCAGATGCTTTCCTAGAATTTGAATGTATACCTACCAGGTGACAAGAAGTTGTTTTGAGTATCTCCTGAAAAGGGAGGAATATTTTATGATCTATTCATGTCTCCTGTGAGTACTTTGAATTAAAAAAGGAATTTGTAGGAATTAGCTAGAGTAAAACCCCACTAATATGTACTAAGAAAAGGGGGGGAAGGCCCATCTGAGTTGGCATAAGAATAGACATTTGTTAACTGTATAATAATGCCATATTTATGCTATACAGTTACTTAGGTATGGCAGTGTGGCAGGTTCACCCAAGATTTTATTCTTTAATATCAGCCCTGACATGTCATTTTTATAATTGTGGGCCAAGATAGAAAATATAAGATGCCACAGACTTCTTTGAAGTTCAGTTTATATTGAAAGTCATTTAAACTTCAGGATGATTTACTACTGCAGGTCTCAGGGAACCAGCATGAAGAACTACAGAATGTTCGAAAACACATCCATTCCTGTTTCACCAAAATTTCCTGTTTTCTGCTACCTCATCCTGGCTTAAAAGTAGCTACCAATCCAAACTTTGATGGAAAACTGAAAGGTTTGTCTGTCTTTTAATGAATATGTTTATATCACTTAGTCCGATATAAAAATATCATTTATCCGCTGGGCTTATGACTGCTTGTTCATTCACTAACGTGAGGCTGATGATTAGAAATCGTCAGAATTGTGATTCCTGGGCTGGTGCTAGAGCGCCTCCTTGGTGAACTGTGGGAATCTGTGGCTGCTGAATATGTACATTGAGAAAAGAGGCTAAAGTTAAACCCTGAGTTCACTTGGGAGGCAGTAGCCCTCACCTTTTTGCAGAGGTTCCTGCTCACCTTTGTGCATTGAGAAATGCTCCTTAATGTCTTCCTGTGTAATTTTTCTTATTTACATTAAAGGGGAAAATAGATGTCTACATTCCTGGGATGTTACATTCAGTTATATAATTAGAGATTGAAATATCTCATGGTACTGAATCCAAGTCCTTTAAAACTGCTACTAAAGAATTTAATTATAAATTATTAAAAGCTTCACTAAAAAGGAGATCCTCTCGAAATGAGGAACAGTTTTTTAAAAACCAAAGCACTAGAGTGTTTTTCAAATAGTATGTATTAATAGCATGTAATTCTCTCTTGAACAGAGGCATGTCTAACATTTTAAGATTCCCAAGCAAGAATTAATGATAAAAAAAGAGATTCCAAAGCAACTCAACTTGTTAAAGAGGGCGTGGAAGTAGGATATGGGGAAGCAGAAGTTAATCTTTCCTAATAGATAATTACCAGGCCTTTAGATGTTTGCTTGGTAGTAATACAATGTAGTACAAAGACATTTCTGACTTTTTTTACTTGTAAGCCTAGCATTGAGTACACCACTAAAGTTCAGACATTTACTAAATATAAGGTGGCCGTTCCGCATTGTGCCAGGGCTGGTGAGACAGTGACATACATTTTTCAGCACAGTTGTTCTGAAAGGGCTTTCAAGTTACTTTTTTAAAAAGGACAACATAACTTATATCCAGTTTTATAGAACTGGCAGTTTTGAAAAGCAAACCTATCCCCCCACTCCCAAACTGATCCATGGTATTTACTCTCAGATACTTTATATTAGCTATGACAGTTAGTATCATAAATAGAATCCCAAAATTTTCAATCAGCATTGTTTTTATACATGTTTTAAATGATCTTACCTTTATATAACAGAACAAATAGCAGTAGGCTATTAATGCATGGATTCCAGGATCCTACAATTTCTTATGAATTCCAATCTACGAGTGAACACACAGACCTCTTGATATTATGCAATTACTTAATGGCTTCCCTGTATTTTGAATAAATTACATAAAAGGAGGGCTTCCCACAAGGCCTCTCTTTCTTCTCTGGAGTTGGGAGCTGTAAACAGGCAGAGAAGGGACAGACCTTCAACAATAGTCTTTTATTGGACAAAAGTACTCTGGCTTGTTCTATTTCTGTGGTATACTATACATCTGCAGTTTTTAAATTAACTGATACATTTTGCAATGAAAGATCTCAAGGAGAGAATTTAACACAAATCATGCAGATTTGTAACAAATATGTTCTCCAAATTTGATTTACATCTAACCATGTATTGACCCACACAATTGGTTTACAGTTACCATAAGTTATGAGTTTGTAGCTAGACAGAGAGAGCAATGAAAGGCAGCTTTAGTTTCCCATCGAACATTCCATTTTTATGAGGTTCATAGAACTGCTGCAGGAATCCTGCTGTGTGCTGAAATGTTCTATTTTGCCTGTTTCTCCTTGGGCATATATTGGTTTTCCATCCCATCCTGAATCTTATAATTTGGTGTGATTTCTATCCAGGATGTCTTGTGTGTTGGCCATGCTATTCTCCGGAGGGCTGGCATCTGAGTGTTTGCCTCTGGGGAAGAAATGTCTCTGAATATAAAAACGTGCAAAAATTGTTCTTTGATGATAATTTCTCACACACTTTTCACACACAGAAATAACTTTCAAGTTCATTATTAATAGTAATAATTGTTATAATTACTATTTGTTCATGGTCCCTCACATTATTGAAATTATCTATTTCTAGTGTTATTTAAAACTTAAAATACTATGATTAAATTTAATTGCTGTTGGTTTAATAACTCCCCACATAGGAAATCCAAAGGACCCAAAGCACTGAATTACATTCATTCATGCTACATTCAACCACTCCTCACCAAGTGCCTACAGCAGTGATGGCGAACCTCTGACACGCGAACTCATTTTTTTGGTTGATTTTTCTTTGTTAAATGGCATTTAAATATATAAAATAAATATCAAAAATATGTCTTTGTTTTACTATGGTTGCAAATATCAAAAAATTTCTATATGTGACACGGCACCAGAGTTAAGTTAGGTTTTTTCAAAATGCTGACACGCCGAGCTCAAAAAGTTCACCATCACTGGCCTACAGAATGCCTCTCCTAGTATAGCAAATCAGTCTTTTAGTAAATAAGGAGTTACCTTTTTTGGAGGTTGCTCTGTGTTACACTGCCCCAGGTAACCATACCATATATTGTGGAGTTGCATCCTTAGCAGCTCAGGTAAGACTTCAGAAAGCATAACCAACACCATGGCAAGGTGATTATTGTTTAAAAAAAGTTGTTTCTAATGACTTGTCAGAGTGAGGTAATCCTGAGAAAATATCTTCCTTGGTTAATTTACACAGCAGAACTCCACCAGTGCATCTGCCCTGCAGCGATCTTATGCATCATGTCCTCAGTTATTGTGACAGATAACCACTCTGGCCTAGTCCCTGAATTCCTAGCAAGGTTTCACTCTTGTGGAAAAAATTATTGAAGAAATGATGAAAACAGAACATCATTCTGAATAATTATCTACCCACACATATTTATTGATCAGTTGCAATGAGCCAAAGCTGATTAGTATACTTCTGCAATTTGATCTGGTCTGCAGATGTTCTGGATTATGTACTTGTTGTTTTCAACTAATACTGGTAGCAAGAGCTAAATTATGTATGTTATGAATATATTATTCATATTTTATGAATCCAAAATTGAAATACCTGGCATTGGTCTCAGTAGACCAAGGCTAATGCCATCTTCAGAACACATTTTTAATCCAAATATGCTGATTACTTTGATGATTACCACACTGCCCAGTGAAATAGATGTACAATTTTATAAGGAAATTGGGGGGAGGGTCTAAGTACATGTTTTGAAAGTGATTTAAAAAGTGGTTTTATATGGAGAAGGCCTTTTTGTCTTATGCAGAAATTCAGAAAAAGTCATACATTATAGATATATAGTAATATTCTACAGATGCTGAAAAAAGCATGAAATCATAAAGCAATAAAGAAACCTATTAGTATCAGTGAATACAGATACATAGCAGGCAACAAAACACAATACACGAATGTGGTAACATAATACAAATACCAGTATCGTATTTCAGTGAATACTGATAACTAAATAGCACACCACAATAACAAATACATTTGAATAAATCTATATATAATACAAATCAAAATAATAAGTAAAATTTGGTACAGTGCAAAATAAATTTGAATAAGCTCCTATACAAATAGTGATAAAGCATGAGCAAGTTTCAAAGCTGTACAAAATGTGAAGCAAAATAAGTCGGAAGGATTTCTGTCTGCTCATGCATGTCATAAAAGCAGAAAGCAAGAGAAGAAAAATATGAATTCTTATGCAAACTGGTATTGCAATGTATACTGAAGTATAAAAACAAGCAGGGAAAATGCAAACACAATCATAAGGTTTTCATCTTTAGCCTTAAAACTTCGGAAATCATCAATTCCAAAGTCTGAAAACTCAGTGACTCTGCTAAAATTCAGATTTTAAAAAATGACATGTAGCTATTGCATTTACTTAGATATCAAGTCTCTGGACATACCTTGTTTTTTAAACATATAATGTGTATTTTTCTATATGTTTTGAAATAATGATTTAATAAATGGTCAGTGTTCAAAATACTTCTTTAAAGACCTATTTTCTTTGTTACTTTGCTAAGTCTGTAATGTTAAGATTAACCTAATGTTATATGATAAAAAACTCTGATCTGCTTGCTAAATTAGGTCTCCATTTCTTGCCATGTTATTTTGAGTTTCACCACTAGAGGTAGCATCATCATCCCTATCTTTTTGAACTTCAGTTCCTAGTTACACCATACCCACTATACACTTTTCATAAGGTGGGCACACTAAACACAGAATGATTTTGAATATATTTTCTGAAGGGAACACATCTTCTCAGCTGGTAATTATATGACTTTTCTCCCCATTTATGAGCCTATATATAAAACTACAAAAAGAATAAAGACAGAATACATGAAATGTTTATGTGAATAGGGTATAAAATATTTGAAAAACGTTTTATATCAAGAAAGCTACTTTATAGGTGGAAGACAAGATAAATGTGTAATTGAAGTGGAGATAAGAAAGATCAGCAGTAGAAAGTTTGGGCAAAGTGGATCATCCACCCTAAGAAAAGTGGGTTCCAGGAATTGTTTAGATGATAGGAAAGTGATAGCTTTATCACTGGGGAAGAAACAGGAAATCAAAGGATGTTTTATTATTGTATGGCATGGAGGACTAGATAGAATTTTAAAAATAATGAATTTGCTTTTACTTGTAGAAATAGATGATGAATTCATCAAAAACTTGAAAATACTCATTCCTTGGCTACTTAGTCCTGAGAGCCTAGATATTAAAGAGATCAATGGGAACAAAATCACCTGCCGAGGTCTGGTGGAGTACTTCAAGGTATTGCTCTCATTTCTAGCACATTTGTGAGTACTTAGATTTGACATGTTTGGAATGCAGTTCCCACTTGAAGCTACAACAAAAAAATTATAGACTCTGTAATATGGGGGCAAAAGTATGAGGAATCTGTACAAATGATGAAAAATTATGAGATTCCCAGGAGGAACTTGTTTTCTGAAATTATTTTTTGAGGGAACTCTTTGAGGTAACTTTCCTGTCCCTTAGAAGGAAATGTATTTTGAAATATGAATGTATCTAAGAGTTGGAAATATCTTTTTTGGGGGGAGGGGTGTTTCCCAGGGTCTAAACCACATAGTCCTCAGTCATGATCTGTACTGAATTTTACCTTCATTCTGAAGATTTTCTCAAAAGGGGCTACACCTTGTCTTTCTACTGGAGAACGTACTTCCACATTTCCCATTCTGCACCAAGGGCCAATCTGAAGTGGAATTATTTTAAATTTGCATTTACTTGTTTACCTCAGGTAGCACTGAGTACAATGCATTTTTTTTACCAACCCACAAATATAGTGAAGAATTTCAGTTACCAATCTAATTTGTGTATTGATGATCTAAGGACTAAAATATCAATTTTTAAAATCAACATTCTGTCATTTAAAATTCAGTCATATACCTCCTGTGTGGTTACTGACCATCACTCTCAGCAATAAAGGATATATTATTTATCTAAAAATTGAATTCTTACTGTGCATAACACTGTGGAGGGGCTTAGAATTTAGTAGGAGATTCAGGACCCTTACACAATTCTGTTCCATGAAGTTTATGACATCACCAGGTACAAATTCCTGTGGGTAACTGAAAAAGAAAGGTTACTCCTAGCAGAGGGATCTGAGAGAGTTTTAAAGGATGTAGAAGTGAGCTAAGCCTTCAAGAGGAGTGGGATTGGCAAGTGGAGATGTGTGAAAAGGGCATTTCAGGAAAGGGGAACAAACACTAAGAAAGAGGGAATTAAAGTATGAGGAAAAGATAATTAGTTCCTGAAACTGCCAAGACCTTACTTTTTTGGTACTGTCAAGACCTTAGACCTTAGAATATAATTTAACAGAATTACAGAAATATTGAATAGAATTACTTGAACATGAGTCTTTTTTTCTTTTCAGGCTTATATAAAGATTTATCAAGGTGAAGAATTACCACATCCCAAATCCATGTTACAGGTATTTATTAGCCATGCTAAGCAAAACATGTGCATCAATCTGGTTGTCAGAAATTATCAAATGAAAATAGTAAACAGAATGATTTATTAGATGATTATTTTTCTAATAGCTGCCCATTTGTGTGTTCAGCTAAACATTTTCACATAAACATACAGCAGCCTTACTTGTGCTGAGATACAAACACTTTATACCCAAGAGTTTTCATTCTCTTTGTATTACATTTGTTTAGAAAACAGACTCACACATGTAACAAGTAGAAAAGCAGGTTTTAAACAAGTAGTGAAACTGACCTTTTCCTTACTTAAAAAATTTCTTAAAGTTCTTGATAGTTCCTTTTTGTTATCAGATACATTGTTCTATCAGTATAGCAGTCCTTAAATTTGACATTATATTTCTATATATTATTTCCATGTTTTTGGGTTTATAGATTTTCCCCAACCCTCAATTTGGTGAGAGGCTTAAAAATGTTGAGGAAAAAAATCTTCCAAATGAAAATTCATTTTAGAACTATGGTTTATTTATTTTAATATATTTTTTATTGATTTCAGAGAGGAAGGGAGAAGAGAGAAAAAGAAACATCAGTGATAGAAAACCACTGATCAGCCGCCTCCTGCATGCCCCAGTATGGGACTGAGCCCACAACTGGGCAACGTGCCCCAACTGGGTATCGAACTGACCTCCTAGTTCACAGGTCAACTCTCAACCAGAGCCACACTGGCTGGGCAGAACTGTGGTTTATTGAGTAAACATATATGTATTATATATTTCAAAATTTTAGTTTTACTAATTTTTAAAATATAGAAATATTTCAATAATTTAAAATTATTTGATGATCTCAGGTTCTTCCACATTTCTTGCTCATGATGCTTATAAATGAGAACTGCCTGTGGAAATTAATGAATTCCATTTTACATAATATTTTTACTTTGTCCAAAGGCCACAGCAGAAGCTAACAATTTAGCGGCCGTAGCAAATGCCAAGGATACATACAACAAGAAAATGGAAGAGGTAAGAATTAAATTATATTTTAAACAAAATTAGTATTTTTTCCATGAAATACTGATTTCTTTTTCTTCCACATTATACTGAATAAACATACAAAGAGGCAGGTTTGACTTATTCTTTCCCAGCCTATGTGTATCACATTTCTATTTATTATATTCCTAAAATATTTTAAAAGAAACACTATGCACAATTTTCAACATATTTTACATGTTACTTCTATATTTAATAGACACATTTTTATTTTTGTCAGATCTTCCCACCAATTTATAAGATTTAGTGGCTAAAATAACATGCTACCCTCTCCACTTCACCTCCCTTCATTCCACAGTTCCAGAATTTCTATCTTAGATATAAAAACCTGTTAGGAAAAAAGAAATTAAACTTTAAGGGCTAATATTTCTACATACCATATTTCTTTTTTTGTTTTAACAATCTCAATGAGGATGCGCCTAAAAATTATTGTGTATATCTACTAATGTGATGGGTCTTTTTCCCCCTGAAATTATAATAAAATTAAAATTATATTCAAAATTGATGGAGTCAAGAGAAATATAGTATAGGAAATGGTGTTTATGACATAACTAAGGGGTAATTCGTATTACCCCTTAGGTCAGGGAGTGTATAGAAGGCAACGATGTGATTCTCACATTGATGTTTCTCTCTCTAAAAATCAATACTTTATGTAGTTAAATCTCAAATAACCGAAGTGAATGATATAAATAACAGATTTCCCTTGTAACTTCTGAAGAAAACAGAAAATGTGGTCCAAGAACATCTGATGTTTCCATTTAGACTCTTGAATGGGCTCCTTTGAAACAAAAATCAGTGAAACTGCCAAATAAAACTTTTAATGATTTTACTTTAGAGCTTTATAGCATTGCTCATTGTTTAAATTAAACTTCATTTGTCAAAATTACTTCAGTGCAGTTAGAAAAAATTTCCTAAAGGGACTGGTTTTCTTGAATTTAGATTCGTTCTGTAAATGAACTCAGTTTGCAGTTCACTTTGTGTCATGCCCGTTCATCTTGGATTTTCATCTTGGATTAAGTTATGGATATTCTTTCCCATGTCAAAAAAAAAAAATTAAGAATGACTTTATATAAGTAACCTATAAAGCAACAGTCCCACTTATAGTTACACCTGATAGTTATTAACTGTGGAAAATGTGGGTTGACAAAACATGCAGGCTTCTTGGTTATTGATATGTTCTAACAAATTTAAGTGAAAATGTTTACAGTTACTAATTTTACTCTGCGTTGCATAAACAATACTTCTGCATCTGATACAGATTTGTGGTGGTGACAAACCATTTCTGGCCCCTAATGACCTGCAGACCAAACATCTGGAGCTTAAGGAAGAGTCTGTGAAGCTATTCCGAGGGGTGAAGAAGATGGGTGGGGAGGAATTTAGCCGGCGTTACCTGCAGCAGTTGGAGAATGAAATAGATGAACTTTATATGCAGTATATCAAGCACAATGATAGCAAAAATATCTTCCATGCAGCTCGTACTCCAGCCACACTGTTTGTTGTCATTTTTATCACATATGTGATTGCTGGTGTGACTGGATTCATTGGTTTGGACATCATAGCTAGCCTATGCAATATGATAATGGGACTGACCCTTATCACCCTGTGCACCTGGGCATACATCCGGTACTCTGGAGAATACCGAGAGCTGGGAGCTGTAATAGACCAGGTGGCTGCAGCCTTGTGGGACCAGGTAGGAACACTTTACTTCTCTTCAGCTAAATTCAGCACACATTTGATTGTCTATATTATATACAGGGCATTTGTTAAGATGTTGGAAATATACAGATGAACATGACTTAGGGGCCCAGTTTTCAAGAACTTTAGAATATATCAAGATGGCCAGATATAACCAACTAACTGTATAATATGTGAAGTCTCAACAACTGTTTTCCAGTTAACAATTCAGTATTTTTCAAAAATACATGGATTAGGCAGTGGTTTTATTTTTTTATCCTAAAAGTTGTTAAAAGAAGTATAAGAAAACAGTTGTTTTTATTTAGCTGCTTGTGACTCAATTATGTTAGCCTTATTACTTCATACTTATGACCTATTTTATTATTTGATAAGCACTGGCTTTGTTAGGATCATATACAAACCACTAACTTAAGTTGTTGTATCACTGTCTCTTTTAGTACCAACTCATAAAAGCAGTATCTGATTACTTCAGATTATCTTCATTTGAACTAGACATTTGCACTAGACATTGGCCATAGCATGAGTCCAGGTCAACCTCTTGATCAGCTGCTCATGGGGTCAGTTAGTTGTTCTTTATGGTCCAATTAACCATAACCTAGGGAGTCAGGCATGCCATGGTCCACTGTTTAAATAATTGATTATGGACAGGGGAGATAATTACAAACACACCTAGAACAACTCTTTATGTCATTCTGGAAGTATCTATCATCAGTTACCTCATGAAAATTTAGGGGGATTTAGTGAAGCTAAAGTTGAGATTCTTCAGAAAATTTTAGGGTTAAAACTTCTGAACATTTATGGTCTGTATAAGTATACTCTTCTCCCAGCATGAAGAATATACTTACACATAGAATTTTAATGGATTTACTATGTGCCTTTAAAAAATCTAGCTGAGATAAATTAATGGCAGCACTATGGGAAAAGAATGAATGAAAGCCCTGGCCAGGTGGCTCAATTGGTTGGAGCATCGTCCTGTACACAAAAAAATTGTGGGTTCGATTTCTGGTCAGGGCAGATACCTAAGTTGCAGGTTTGATCCCTGGTCAGGGCGTGTATAGGAGGCAACTGATCAATGATTCTCACATCGATGTTTCTCTCTCGCTAAAAATCAATAAAAACATATTCTCAGGTGAGAATTAAAAAAAAATGAATTAAAAACTGGATCCTCTGAGCCACTGTCTCAAATAGCCCCTCAACCTCAAAAGATAGAAGAGGGGCTATTTGAGGGGAAAAAACCAATGCCCTCCTAGAATATGATGCTGAAACCTATAAGGGATATTGAATTGGGTTTTTCAAAAGATTTATATAAATATGTAATACAAACAAAAAATTTGCAGTATTTGTTCACAAATTAATACTGTGAACAATGTTGAATATTGTAATGCTATTAATGAGACAGGATATATACTTTTCTTTTCTCCCTTTTAAACTGCCTTTGCTACAGGGAACTACAAATGAGGTAAGTTAAATTTTTCTAATTAAGAGCTTATATTTGTAAACATTATGTCTTTTTTTAATAAACCGATTAGCCATTAAAGGATGTCTAAATGATTAGAAAATCTTTGATAACTACTGCTCCTATGTTCTCCTTGCATTTATAATTTTAATTGTGAATTTTTAACATGGTTTAAAAACAGTATTTAATTTATTCCAGACATCATGTGATTTGAAATACATAGGAAATACAAACACATGAATGTTGGTAATATTTTATCTGTTTTGTTTCCTAAATATGTAGGAGATTTCAAAATTCCTAAGTTCCAACACTGTGCATTTTTCTCTGCTGAAGAATGAAACATGTATAGTTATGGATCTTGAGGAAACTTAACTACTGGACAGCACTTACTTAACTTTGACTTTTGAGTGACAATTACTCATACACTTTAAGCAGGTTCCAGGCCAAAAATGCAGCATAACTTTCTTGGCATACCTCAGACATGACTTGTTAATTGGTGTTCATTTCTCCCACCACCCTTTCATTCTATCACTCTTCAATGTGCAAACTCTGTATCTAAGGGAAGAATCTAAGCTTCCAGGAGGGAATCATTTATTACGTAAGAAAACTTATCTCTGGAGTCATTTAGGTTATTGTGTTCAGGAAGCAAAACTGATCCTGAACTACAGAGACAATGCATAATTCCTTACTTAGTTTCTGCTGTTACATGCGACTGGATTATGTCCTGTAATCAAATAACAATGTTAAACTTAATATTTACAAGTCAATAAAGAATTATTTTATATAAAATTCAGTAAAACAAATTCACTAAAGTAAAAACAAATTTCAACTTTATAAAGCAAACCTTAAGGAAAAAAAAAATCTAAGCTTTTGCCGAAACCGGTTTGGCTCAGTAGATAGAGCGTCGGCCTGTGGACTGAAGGGTCCCGGGTTCGATTCCGGTCAAGGGCACATCCCCAGTAGGAGTTGTGCAGGAGGCAGCTGATCGATGTTTCTAACTCTCTATCTCTCTCCCTTCCTCTCTGTAAAAAATCAATGGAATGTATTTAAAAAAAAAAAAAAAAAAGAATAGCAAGCTTTTATCCAGTTTTTAAAAATATTCAGATTTTTTAGACTCCAGAATTACATAAAATAAGTTGGTCTAATTGAGTGCTCATTACGTGAAAGTCGGAAGAGGGAATTTATCTTAGACATTAGGTGGGGAGGGGGGAGAGAACATTAAAATATTTTGAACACTTATATAAAGCAATATGTAAAAATTCCTGATTGAAGCACTGTTATAAAGACACAAAGAACAATTCAGAGGTAGTTTTAATGATGAAAGGCTTTCTGAGATAATGTTTCTGAATAAGGTTTTGTAAAATATGAACTAATTAACAGAAATAAGGCAAGAAAATGTTTGAGTGGGCCCCAGTGTGGCAGAGGGAGGGGGCAACATATGTGCTTATTTGCATGACTGTATGAGGAAATAATGGAGACTGAAGGTGTCCCCATTCTGAAAAACTATAAGGAAGCCCTGAGAACAAGTGGTCTAGCTATTACAATACAGTAGCTATTGACAGTCAAAAGTTATGAGCTCCTGTAATTTCTCTAAAATTGACAAGTTCTCAATAAGCCCCTGGGGCATAGTGAGTGGTTAGGAAGCTGTGCTCCATGAGGTGTGCAGGTAAAAAGGAAATGCTGTCTGAGAATAAAACATTTACCATGAAGATCAATCCACAAAAGTAGTAACACACACTATAGAGCTGAAAGTACTTTTGGGTTCTAAGATATTATTAATTTATATTCCATAGAGATTAATGATATAGACTCCAAATTTAGCAAGCTAACTTTTATACAGTACCATAAACTAATTACACTTAAAAGAAAAATGTTTACATCTGTGTGTGCTAAAATCTGTATTCTTGTCTTTTTAGGCTTTATACAAGCTTTACAACGCAGCAGCAACCCACAGACATCTGTATCATCAGGCTTTTCCTGCACCAAAGTCAGAATCTACTGAACAATCAGAAAAGAAGAAAACTTAATCCAAATGTTAAAAAATACAGGTGCATGACCAATTTTCAGTTACATGTCTCCATGTAAACATTCAGTGCTTCCATCAGAAAGAGTAAAATACCAAACACCTCTGACGACTGCAAAAATGGCCTAGTTCTTTTATTTCAGTGTTTAATAGCAGGTGTATGTATGCATGGTTATTATCATTTCATTAACATGTAGTTTCCTGATTTTGTCTTCAAATATAGTTATAATTTAAAGTTGTCTATTTATGATGATAGTACATGTGTTCTGCTTGAATTTACTGAATTCTACTACAGGGTTATAATTAAACCATGTGGTAATATTACTCCCTGTTTGGATATGCTCATTTAATTTTTACAGAAGAATTTTGAAATTATTTCATAGTCATTTGTTAAAGCACAGCATCACAACTCAAAAGGCTTGATTCAGTCTATATCATCTTACATATACCATAAGCTCTTATTTTTAAAGACATTTAAGAGAGCTTTTCAGTTGCTTTATCAAAAACTATGTATTGCTTTTTATATTATGATTTAATATAGAATATAAACCTCTTGATAAAAAATGCACAATAGATCACTTTGTATGTATTTGAGTTTCTGCATTGTATATTTTTTCATTTGCTACACAAAGAAATGTATTCATCATAGGTTTATTCTTTTAATATGTCAACTACTATTAAAGTTTACTCTGGTTCCTAAGATTAAAAACAAATGCTTACTGAATTTGGAAATATTTGGGTGTTGATAAAGAATGATGACGGTTTATCTTTCTTTTAAAAATTCAGAATGGATTTTCTTTAATGTTGACCACATTTCAAATTTAGGTTTCCATTTTAAGAAATAGGTACCTTCCAGTTCTTTTAAAACAGTGATTCTATACTGTATTTCTAATTACTAAAATCTATAGTGGAATTTCATTGAGCATACACATTTTAAAGAGAAAAAAAGTGTGGTAATGAAAAAAAAAAAAAAGTAATGCCTCTTATCTGAGAGCACTAAAACAGTAATTTCTAACTTTCTTTGAAATGGCTAAGTCGTCATTAAACAGTAATATAAAGTAAGGAGCAACAGAAAAGAATAATTAAGATAGAAGAGTGTGCAAGAGTTCATAAGGTATGTAAGCTTAAATCTTAGAAAAGTTTGATCACATGCCCTGCAAAGTAACTTTTCCCAGTGATAAAATTCCACTAGCTTATTTTCATTTTTCAATACCCCTTTCAATGTACTGTTTTCTTTGATGATGGGTCTTATGAATGGAAAAATCGAATATTTACAGCACTATGTGTAAAATATAGACTCAAACATTTAGTTTCCACAAAAATATATTTAATAAGCTGCTTGTATAAAATCAAACATTTAATATTTCCAACATTTTATCAACAAATTAAACTCACTATTATGTAACTGGGAGTGCTTTGTATTTTGGAAGATTACCTAAACTAAAAACATATTTACATATTTACAACACATGTAAATATAACTGAAGAGCTACTTCAACTAATGTTAAAATTACTGGAATTCTACAGATTTATAGGCTAGAAGTGCCATAAATTTGTCTGCAATCAAATGTACTACACAAATTATGAACAATATCTTTGTTAACTATTAACTCAAAAGGAAAAAAATGGGAATAAATACTGGGTTTTAAAGTTTGTGACAAAGTCTTAAAGATAAAAGAAAATCAATTTATTGACCAAGATTTCTTAATGAATCCCTGATTGTCATTTTTGGCAGCTCAACCCAGCTTGTTAGGATGGTAGCATGTCATGCTATAGGGAACCCTCCACTGTCTCATCAGAGCCATGCTCTTAAATGCCGAAAGAGCCCTGGCCAAAAGTAAGGAAGTGATGTTAGCTACTCTGAATGCTGTACACACCTCTCCCACACAGGCTAAAGCCTTATGCCAAAATTTATTCCTTAAAGATTAAAGGCCCTTCACTCTTTTATACCAAAAGAATACTTTCTCATCACATTTAAAACGTTCTTTACATTTGGGAGGGAGGGGAATACCATAAATTATATATAAAAATTTATCACAATAAAGGTTCCAAATCCCATTTTATGTTTTGAGCTATGCACAATAGTAACACTTAAAGCATTCGATTCCAGACAATGTTCCACACTAAAGCAGGAAACATCTTTTTTTAAATACTGCATAGGTTATCTCTCGCTTTGTTTTTTATAGAAAGGTACTGCTACTGTAAGAGTTTATCAAGTGATCATTTCCTATTTAATATCTCATAATGACATTTCTTGCTGCATTTGTCTCCACTAAGAATATTCAAAGCAGTTTCCTAATATGCAGCATTAAGAAGTTTGCCACATTGGCTCTTAAGGTGAAACATTTTTTTTCCTCAATAAGAGTATTTTTAATAACAAAATACATGTAAAATTAGAATTTTGTAATTTCTAAAAAGCTGCCTTTATTAACCAAAGTACTTGTTTGCAGTCTTTTATCTGTGAGAATATTTTAAAGCCCTTATAAAACTTAAATTCTATTTTTATTTTTAAAAAATTTACTTAAAAATTCTTGCCATGTTGCTGGGCATACCACTGCTGCCTCTGCTTGCGGTTTTCTAACTCTGTGAGAAGAGCCTGTCTGTAGGCTTCATACATTTTGACAATCTGTTCCAGTTCTTTCATGAAAAGCAACTTCAGCATTCCCTGGTATGTATCTAGGTCAGCAAGCTGGAAGAGTTCCCACTTCAGAATATGGTCATATCTGTTTTAAAAACACAATCATACATATATTCAGAATACACACATTAAATATGTATTTATAGTAATCAACTGGTCTATTTTTATAAATATCAACTTTATTAAAATTAAACCATAATCTATAATTGAGTCAACTGCTACTTAAATATACTATTTTTTAGAGAGAGGAGAAAATAATTACTACTTCATTTCAATTTCAAAATACCCATTTCATCTTAAGTGTCAGTTATTCTAATATTAACATTAGATAGCAATAAACACATATTTCAAACCACTGTGGTTCTATAATTTGTGAAGAAGACATTCTATGCTATTCATAAGTTCATCTAAAGTTAACTGTCAGGAACTTAAGAATGCTTTAAACCACATTGGGCCTATAAATAATACATAAAATGGGCAAGGTCATTTGTGTCATTAGAGTCAATAGGGCTTTTTAAAAAATGTATGTTTTTTATTGATTTTTGAGAGGAAGGGAGAGGGAGAGAGAGACAGAAATGTTAATGAGAAACATCAATATTGATCAGCTGCCTCCTGCATGCCCCCTACTGGGATCGAGCCAGCAACCTGGGCTTGTGCCCTGACCTGACGGGGAATCAAACCAGGGACATCTTGGTTCATGGGTTGATGCTCAACCACTGAGCCACACTGGCAGAGCTTGACAGATGAGGAATGCTGTTCTCTACAGCAAACAAGGAACTGAAAAGAAGAAGGAATGAAGAGGAACCATCATTTGTGGGTTGAGTTTTCCTGAGGCTAAGTATACAGTATTTAAAAACAAACAAAAAAAACCCAACAGAAAAACTCAAGCAGAAAGCAAATAAGCTCTGTTTAAAATGAGAGAATAAGTAGACTGTAGAAGATTCCACAATGTAGGGAAGGGTTCATAAAATTATATCTGTATTTCAGAAGAAGGCCTTCTTCAATGGTAGGCAGATCACATACTGAAATGGTAGCCTGCCACAAACTACTAAAGCAGTAATTTATACTTTGAATTGACAGACACTCTAATCCAATTTTATTTTACAGATGAAAAAACTGAAACCCCAAGAGGCTATATCTCTTGCAATACTATTTAGTGACTAAAACATCAGAAAGGCCTAAAGAACTATGGACCAAGATGCTTCAGAGTAATAATTTTGACTGTTAGAATACTAAGACTAGTCAAAGAACATGAACTACACCAGGGCATATACCTATGTGATAATGAAGTTATACTTCTCAAATCATACTGCAGAGCTGACATAATAGGAAGTTTTATAAATTCTGGTAAATTTATTTTTAATGATCATTTCTAATATTTCCTACCCAATGGTCCTTTGGTAATTCATTTACTATATTATTCCAAAAGGATCACTTGTCTAATATAAATTTTAAAAGGCTTTTTAAAAAGGGAAACAGTAAACAAATACTGAAGAAAAAGCATTCTAAGGAACAACATAGAGAACAAAAGTAAGCAATGCACCAATTTCAGTTCCAAATTCTTGCCCCTGCTGTTTCTGTATAATTTCTTCCCTTCTGCCTATAATAAATCCTATTATACCTAATTATTTTTACCATTTTTTCCTTCTTAACTAGCCAAATAATCTACTTCCTCAAGTTTAACTTTTAGCCACTTATACTCTAAATATACAGGTAAATCATTTAGAAAATAGGCTGTAAAAACTCCTCGATAGCCTATACTTATAGCATCTCTTTTGCTGTTTTTCCTAGGACAGTATTCTATTCAAACACTACTTACAAATAAACCATATATGCAAACAGCCATTGCTATACTGCCACCAAAAAACAAAAAGAAACCAAAAAGGTGTTCACACTGCAGTGGATGCTGGCTTTAAGAGCAAAAATGCTGCCAAAACCGGTTTGGCTCAGTGGACAGAGCGTCGACCTGCGAACTGAAAGGTCCCAGGTTCGATTCCGGTCAAGGGCATGTACCTGGGTTGCGGGCACATCCCCAGTAGGAGATGTGCAGGAGGCAGCTGATTGATGTTTCTCTCTCATTGATGTTTCTAACTCTCTATCTCTCTCCCTTCCTCTCTGTAAAAAACCAATAAAATATATTTAAAAAAAAAAAAAAAAAAAAAGAGCAAAAATGCTGCCTTTCTCAGCTCCAGGTATCATAATGTGGTCTAAGTTCCTGGCACCTGCCCCCTATAACAGTGTGCCCACTATCTCTTTCCACCTATACCCAGAGCTGGGTCAATGGTGACACTGGAATCAAGACACAGGAATGAAACAGAATCCATTCCACAATGCTGTGGGGGACTGTGTTGGAGTGTGTGTAAGGAATATTAGAAAGTATGTTCCTAACAGTCTTCTTCCTGTTAAAGATTAAATCTCGTAATTTTATCTGATATTACAGTTATATGATGCATTACAGATTTTTGTGAGCGGAGTTAGAAACATAACTTCAATAAAATTAAATAATTTAGAACATAATCTGTTTCTAAGTCAAGTTCTGGAAGTATATGCAAACAGTATTTTTGTAAGTTACTTCTAAAGACAGAATTAAAAATTTCAGTAAGCTAGAAAATGGTCAATTGTTAAATAGGAAGAAAGGCTACTTTTTTTTCTAAAACCTATTTTTTTTATAAGTAATTGATTCTCCATCATCTAATTCATAGACAACAGCTCACCTTTTATTGATAGAACAAGATTAACCATTTCCATACTCTTTAGAGATAAAAATTTAGGAGCAACTAAAAAGCAATAGGTTTCCTGACGTTTTAAGTTTTTAAGCAAAGAAGTATTTGCTCTCTTTTCTAGAAGAGTTTTGAGCTATCTGAAGATTTAAAAAAAAAAGTTGCTAGTTTCCTAAAGTTTTATAGCTATCTCATAGAACCAGATATGAAAGGGACTATAATCTTTAGGAGTCTTCCTTTTTATAAGAAGCAAGGAATTCCATTTAAGTATTATCTTTTTTACCCCCAAAGAGAAGCTTTTTATTTTTTCTAACAATGACTATAAAGTAGAAAGAGTAACCCTCTTCAATCTTA